CAAAAGGGGGGGCTGCTTTCTGGGTGGGGTCTGTCAGGCCCAGCCTGAGGCCGCCTGGGGCGCGGGGCAGCCCCTCCCGGGCGCGGCCTCCACGTGGGGCGCCGGAGGTGTGGCGGGCGGCGCCCGGGGCGCTCCTCCCCCCAAGCAGCTCTGAACCTCCTTTACTGGGCGCTAATAAAATAGCGAATTATTTCCGTCCGCGGAGGCCGGGCGTCCTCCCGGGCCGGCAGCCCCCCGGCGCGGCAGCACCCCCTGCGCTGCGCCCCCGAGCACCGCCTCGGCCACGAAGGCCGGCAGCGCGGGTCGCGGGAACCACAGCAACCCTTCGCTACGCCTGGCGTGATGACGCCACGGCGCGCGCCCCAGCGCCCGATTATGACGCAAGCCGCGGCGCGGGCTCGGCGATCTCGCGTGACCGCGGGCGCAGCTTCCAGGCCGCGCAGCAGCAGCAACGGCAGAGGCAGGCGGGCGAGGTCAAGATGGTGGCTCCGCGGGCGGGGGAGGCGCTGGAGGGAGGAGGAGCCAGGCCGTAGCCCGCCGGAAACACCGGCGCCCGGACAACTCCCGGGAGCAGCCGCCGCCGCCGCCCGAGCCGCCGCCGCCGCCTGCTCCAGCTCGAGCGCCGCGAGCGGGCGGCGGGGCGGGCTGCGTGAGGCAGGAGACGAGGAGGGCGGGGCGGAGCCGCCCGCCCGAGCCCCCGCCCCGGCCGCCGTCCCGGGCCCTTCCCCGCGCGGCCCGGCCGGGCCCGCCCAGCCCCGGTGTGGCAGCGGCTCATGGCGGCGGTGGGGCCCCCGCAGCAGCAGGTGCGGATGGCCTATCAGCAGGTCTGGGCGGCGCTCGAGGTGGCGCTCCGGGTGCCCTGCCTTTACATCATCGACGCCATCTTCAACTCCTACTACGACTCCAGCCAGAGCCAGTTCTGCATCGGGCTCCAGATCCTCCTCCGGCTCCTTGGTAAGGGGGTCGGGTCGACTGCGCCCCGGGACGGCGCTGCAGGCCGAGATGGGCCTTGTGGAGGCCGTGGGCCGTTGTGTGCGTGTCTGTCTGTCTGTGGGAGCCAGTTTCTCCCCCATCTGGGCGTCTTTGCAGGGTGAGGAGAGGGGCCGGAGGTGACAGGAGTCCCGGAGTTGACAGTGGGCCGATCCTCCCGGCGGGCCAGCCCTCTGTTCGTTTTTGCACCGGAGTGACGGCGGGGGGAGGAAGCGTGGTGTGAGAGCCGCGACCGACTCTCCCTGCTGTTTCCCTTGGGGAATGAGTGTTGGCTTACCGCGTCCTATGCGACAGCCTCGGAAAAACAGCACCAGTGCTCGCCCCGATCTCGCCTTGTGTGACCTTGGACTTCTCCAGCCAAGGCCTGGGCCTCAGTTTCCCCCTTTTCGAAAATGCGGAGTGTATTGTCTCTTCTGTGTGCATGGGGTCCACATAATCGTGTCCTGTCTGCTGGTAAATGACATCCAAACCAGAGAGACAGGATGTCGATGTCAGACCATTTACCAAAAAATCCTCATGAAGAAGGCGATCCATACCTAACGAGGCCTAAAATTTCCCATGAATGAAGAAGGAGGTCTTGAAAATGACTATCAAAACGTGGCTAGCAAGTGATGAGACTTTTCCAAAGTATACTTCTGAAAATCTGTGTCTTTGGTGCATATGAGTGGAGTGTTAAAAGCATCTTTTATTTCATTCCCCATCTTATACTTTTGTCTCCAGAGTGAGAAGCATTTATGTGTAAAATAATTGTTTAAAGTAATTGAAACTTGGCAATTTTCGTTGATGAGGTCATTCTTGTGATCAGTTTTTAGTAGGCTAGTGCTTTGAAGTGTTGCTGAGGACAGCCTGATGGTGAGATCCTTACCAAGCTTGCCATCTGTTGCTTCCTCCAAAAAACTGGCAATAAATGTTGAGTTTTGTTCTGGCAATAAAAAACATTTTAATTTGCTTGGAATTTGCTCTGGTAGTATCTATCCTAACTTTAAATATATCCCTGAGTGATAGGTGGTATTTCCATTCTACAAATGAGGATACTGAGGGTCATAGATGTTAAGTGTTTTGCTCTTGGTACACAGCAAATAAGTATTTGCCAAGTTTAAAAATCTTGACTTTAAGGGTGGTTCATTTTCCTCTTCAGTACAGCTGCAGTCCAGAGACAAAATCATGCTTGGTCTTAAAACTAACATATGTGACTGTGATGTCTTTAGCACAAAACTTCTCAGTAACCGACCAGCTCCTTAATCCCTGCCATTCCTGCTTACCACTACAAAAGTGTACTGTTCTCTTTTGTTGTGGCAGAAACGAAGCTATTTTGAGGGGACTCACATATTCATCCTGTAAATAGAGTAGATAACTGCCCTAACTGTTCTTACCAAGGTAACTGCAGTTCTTCCCAGAACCCCTGTGGGAAGCAGGGGCTTTAATGCAGTTTGTAGTTTAAGAAAATTGAGCAAAGTAATCTGGTATTCTTTGCATTCCATCCATGTTTCTAATTTTTGTAGTGAATCATGGAAGTTTGTGTTTGACAAACTAAAGAGAATGTGACTTCAGGTGAAATACCACTCTGTGGCTTTTTCTTATCTTGACCTTTTTGAGAAGATGGACAATGATGGTTTCTCTCAATGACGGATTATTAGGACAATAAGTGAATTAGGCTCTAAGCTCTTAGAAGAGTACCTAGGGCCTAGTAAGGGCAATTTAGATGGTAGCCTTTAGTGAGCTTGATAACTTGTAAAAAAGGTAATTTAATACTACTATTAAGATCATATTGTGTTACAGATGGATATTTTGGTCTTTTGGAGGCATCAGCAAAATGTGGGTGCTGTTTATTTGAAAATTTGATCCCTGTCTATTCTATGGGTCAGACTTAACGAGAAACACAAAGTGTTTTTCAAATCTAGCATCTGACTGCTCTTTGCATTTTGCCAGTATAAATTTGCTAATTTTTCACATTTATAAGGAAGATAACTTTTAAAAATTGGATTTGGTGCTAAAAATTAACTCTGAATAAAAAACAGTTGTCTTAAATATTTGAGAGCCATTTAATGAAACATCACGTTACTGAAAGTGACAGGTTTGTGTGTAAAAAATACCAAAGGACAGTTGAAGTTGTGTACCTGTTTTTTGAAAATAATTATACACTTCTCAGTACTGTATGCAAATTTTAAAATTTGTCAGTCTCACATTTTTCTTTAAAATAGAATTGTAAAAATGGAAATATATTCTCTAAATAAAAGGTATTTGGTATGTAGTGTCTGAAGAATTCACTCCCCTCCTCTCTGCCTACAAAAAAGTACAACTGTACTTTCATTTAGTATCAAACTAATTTGCAAATTCAGCAGGTGAGAAAATAAAATCTCATTTTGGAGATCCAAATCTAATCATAATATATAGCATATATTTAGGAAGTGTTATATACTAAATGAAATGCAGCCCAGTGCTGCATAATGCTGAATTAACAACTCTGAATCCAAGGCAGAAAATGCAAGCATAGGAGCCTGTTTTTATTAGTGTTACTCATACGGTGTTAATTCACTGAGGTAGAAAGTTCTTTCTAAACATAAAAGAAAATTCAAAAGTTACAGGGGAAAGTTGATAAATTTGAGTGCTTAAAAAAAAAAACCTCATAACACAGCTCTTTTAAAAATCCCTAAAAATGACAAAGAGGGGAATGTTTGCATCATGAGATTGAAGTCTTAGTAAGAGTTGTACTGCCAATAAGAAACATTTCTCTCCCCAGAGAAAAATGGGCCCAAGATAAGTAGTTCACAATAGATGAAATGCAGATGGTCAAGCTACAGAAAAATTAGACTTATTTGCAATTAAAGAAATGCAGTCAAAATGAAAATTCACTTAGATTGGTGAAGAGCTCAAAGTTTGAATAAAAACTTGTTTGGCAAAGATATGGGAGAAATAGATAAGGTTACACAAATTTCAGGGATACAGCTGCATACTGATTTGTGTGTACCTCCTCATATGTACCCCCTGGAGTTTGTGCTGTTCCCACTGTCACATGGTACTGTCCCTGAAATTCGTCCTATAGCTTTTGACTCACAATTTCAGTTCTAAGAATTTGGCCTCAAGATGTCTTTGCACCAAGACGTTGGGCAAGGATATTCATTGCAGCATTACTGTTCAGTAATAACAGAACAGTATATTGTTAATCTAAATGTTCATTCATCAGGGTTAGCCATACAGTGTTAGTGACAAGAATGTACAATTCTTATCAGGACTTCAGTCTCATATGATGCAAATATTTCCCTTTCTGTCATTTTTAAGGATTTTTAGAAGTATTTTTGGTGTTGTAGAAAGAACTCAAAACCTGTGATGTGAAAAAACAAAGCTAAGTGCCAGTAATTGTGAAAGCTCAGAGAGAGACTAGGGGTTCTCAGCAGTGACACTCAGCAGTGACACTTGTGGAGGGGACAGTTTTTGTTGGAGTGTTGGGCTGTTCCTCGGAATTACAGGATTTTTAGCAGGATTTCCTTCCTTTCCCTGTTAGATACCAGTAGTGCCTCCACTCCTCCTTAGATATTGGGGGAAAGATACTGTCAAGTGACCTCTGCTGGTGGGGAAGGGGCATCGAGACAGGCAGCCAGACTAGCAGCACACACTAGAGAGCCCAGAAACCTTGCGCCCGTGCATGTATGGAAACTTGATTGATTGTGTTCCACAGGTAGGATCGAAGTATGTCACGGTAAATAGAGATGTTTAGTAATTGTCTAGTTAGTCATATGGAAAAAATTATAGCCAAGTCCCTACCTTCCCTGTGAGTATATAAACAATTCTAAGTGGATTAACACCTAAGTGTGAAAAACAACTTTAAAACTTTCAGAGAAAATAGACAACATTGCTTTTAACCTTCATGTAAGGGAAAAGTTCTTAAAAATATGTAAAAGCAGGTGTATAAAATATTGATAAATTCAGTAATAGTGAAATTTAAAACCTGTTGAACAAGACACAACGTCAGTAAAGTGAAAAGACCAGTCACATACTTGTAGAAGATATGGAAAAGTGACACAGATTTTGTAATCCAAATATTTTTTCAAATGCCTACAATTCAGTAAGGATAGAAAAAGCAACTCCAAGAGAAATGAGCAAAAGACTCACTGGCAGTACACAAAGGAGGAACCAGCTGACGGGTAGAGTAAATTGAAAGATGCCCTCTTTGATAAGTAGTCAGAAATGCAAATCTAAAAAAAAATTTTTTTTTTTTTTTTTAGTGCATGCCTTTTATACACAGTTTTCTTCTGATTTGTCACAATAGGTCAGCCAGCCTTTGCCACAATAATGTCTGCCGTAAACACTCCAGCACCACATCCATCTGAGGGGCACTCCTGACTAAGGCGACAGGTTTTACCGTTTAGTCCACCTTCTAACATTTCAGGACAGCCAGCTCAACTTCCTTCCTCTAGGGTTTGATCTTCCTGGGAGTGGTGAAAGACTCTTAGCACCACGCAAGACGAAACGAAGAGTGAACTCCTTTTGAATGTTGTCCTCAAAGTATGTCCATCTTCCACTTGCTGGCCCATAGCAGTCAGTCTTTGCTGATGAGGAGGCACTCCTCCTCCTGGGGCATGTTCTGTTACATCTGCGGGCTCAGCCTCAGGAGTGAAAGTCTCCCCAGTAAGGGTTTTCACAAAAACTTGCTTTTTTGGTGGCAGAATCGCCAAATGGCGGATTGCAAAAGAAGCAGAAATTCAAATTTTAAGAGGTTAAATACCTGTAGGGTTTGACTTTTTTAAAAAAAGCCAACAAAACCCCTTCAAATATTTCTTTTTTTTTAAGTAACAGTAATTTTTTAAAAAGGTTTGTTTATTCATGCATGCAAGAACTGGGGTATAGGACAGAGGTGCAGGGGGTCCTGATTCACCAGAGACAGAGCGGGGAGCAGAACAGGCAGATCCACTGAAACACACTGCTGAGGGGAGCAGCGGGCGGGAGAGGAGAGGTCTGTGTGGGTCAGCCACACAGACCATGTGGGTCAGCTCCCTGGCCGGGGATCAAACTCATGCTGCAGTGGCTGGCGATAGCTTGACAGCACTGAGACTCAACCCCTGTGCCACCAGGGAGGCCCCTTCATATATTTCTTAATAAAAACATGCTTGTTAAAGTCTCAGTTTAAAGGCAAAATTTTGGTTCTAATAGAACACTTGAGTCCTTTCTTTCCTAAAAAGTTTGATAGAAAAATTTTCTTTATGCTCTAGTTGATCAGGTATGTTTAGAGATGAATATTTCAGGATACTTACTTGATCCTATGCTTCACTCACCTGGGAGGAAGGTGGGCCTCTAGGGTGTCGAGGTGTTTTCCACATCTTGCTTTAGATTATGTTTCAGAGTTATTTAAGGTACCTGGAGAATTATAAATGTTCTCCCTTTCTTCCTCCTAATTTATAGTCCTAAATATCCAGAAAAGATTTATGGGTATGAATGGACTTTACACATAAAACACTTAAACTTGATTGTGTAACATGCGTGGTGTTTGTGTTTGCTTGCTTTTTGCTTGTTTTGGTAATCCAAATTGAAAAGGCCCTGAACTCTTTCATGAATTGACTCCATTTATAGCTTCAAAAGCTCCTGAATTGATTTGATACCTGCCTCTTTTCCTACTTTGAGAACTTGAGTGAAACTCTCCAAAAACTGGAGAATTTGAACCCAGAGTTGTGATTTCAATTACTTTTATTTTCTGGTGTCCCAGGGTGGAAGGCAGCATTTATATATAGCCTTGATATGTGGGTCGCTCATAAATCCTACTCAGAAACTCTGTCCTGGTGCTTAATTTTCTTAGGCCTACTGGGTAAACACTAATAGTTTTATGTCTCAGTTGTGAAAATGCTGTGAAAACTTAGTGACACTATTCCCTAAAGGCTACAAGAGGACATGCTCTACTCAGGAGACTTGTTACTTGGAAATTTGGCTCCTCCCGCCCCCCCTTAAAAATGGGAGCTGATTCTTCTGACATTCTGTATGTAAGAGCATGGGTTTCCAAAAACATTTAAGCACCCCATTTATTAATACATGCAAACTTTGGGTAGGGCATTTGAACAGTTGATATACTGTACCTGAAATCTTTGGTCATCAGTACTTCTTGGGGGTGTAATTTAATCAAAGAGGAGTATCAACTTGCTGGAACACATTCGAACTGTGAGGTTGGAGCCTCACTACATTATTTGCTTGTCCTATCACATCACACTTCCCCCTTTTTTCCTTTGCGGCAGGTTAAACTCCATTTCTGTACGAGTATTTCTAAATCCCAAATCATTCCTTCATTTGTACGGAAAAATAAATTTCCGGGGTGAAAACTATTATAATGAAAAAAAGTTATAAATTACAGCAAAGTTCATGAATATTCACAGGCAAAGATTAATTTACCACTTTGGGAATAGCAAACTGACAAAAACAATATGTAGTCACTGCTTGATTTACGCCCTTTGAAGTAGCATAAAATGGAATCAGTTATTTTGGTTTTGACTCACCTTAGGTTAAGGTTTGTCTCCGGAGTATTGTTTTTCTTACAGGGAAAGCAAGATTACGTAAAGCATACAAAGGTGGAGTTAATTCTCTTTTTTTGTTACCTTCTTTAGAAAGGCTTCCCAATTCTTTGAAAAATTGAAGTCCATTTACAGTGAAAGGACCTATTCCCAGCTGTCACCGCTGGGAGACAAGGAGCGGCCCTCTAGCTTGGTGCATGGGGTGGAAGGGGGTTTGTAGGAAGAGGACTGTGTCTTCCAGTTAATTGTGTTCTTTTGTTCTCTTTTTCACAAATGGCCTGACACAGGATAAACTGTGAAGTCCATGGGCAAACTCATCAGTTAGAGGAACTCATCTTTGCTTTTACACAAAACAGATTGTGAAATGCCCCCACTGTAACTGTAATATGCAGTGTCTTTCCTGATTACATGCTGAGTTACGGTGGATCGAGATGTGTGTTTAAATTTGTTTTCTTCTTTTCCTTTACTTCAAGCTCTGGTTTTTCAGCTTTTGTCTTACCCTTTCATAGGTTTTAACTCCCAAGCAGGATGTTTTATGGTTGCTTTTAAAAACAATTCAGAATTTGACAGAAACACTGATTCTCCCAATGAATACTAATTGTATTTATTTTTACAGACTATTTTGGTATCTGTAGATGTGCAAAGGAGGACCCTTGCTTGCTATCGAGCATTATGTGATAGGGTAGATGATACCTACTCAGATAACCACAACAAAGATGTAGTATGTCTTACCATGTCTGTAGGTGTGCTGAAGGAAGAGTCAGCGCTCAGAGGAAACGGGTCTGTAAGACTTGGACCCTGGGGGATTTTGGGAAGCAGAGAAGCTGGTGGATTTGGAAGGAAGTTGGCAGTGTGTGTGTCCGCTGGAGGGACGCTGCTCATTGGATACTTGAATGCTGGGACAGGGAATTTGGATTTTAGTTGATAGTAATTTCAGAGCCACTGCAGCATTTTGAGTAGAGCGATGAAGTCAATTTGGTGATGACTTTGTAGGTGGATGTGGACAAGATGAGCTTTTAGAGACAGACTTAATAGTTTCCTGAGGAAAAGGGAGGTACAGATGTTAGTAGAATTTGGCAACTAATTGTTAAAAAAGTTTGAGAGTCTAGGGCTAGAAGCACCATTAAGAGAACAGTAATGCTACTTTTTTTTGCTATTGGAAATCACAAAGAGCTGTTTGAGAGGAATTAGGTTTTAAAGATTTGAAGGTTGCCATTGTATAAGTGGAACAGGTGAATATTTAATCTTGCTTAAAAACATTTGCCAGAGCGCAAAGAAAGATGGTGCTGGATATGCATTAACTTGTGTGGTGTTGATTTAACACCACCATCTTCTTTTAACAAGATTTGGTCTTAATGGCTGTTAGAACATTGCAAAGGATTGGTTATTTGAAGAAAAAAGATTCAGCATTATACAGGGTAAAGGGAACTTGGAGGACATACGTGAAATCTGTAGAAAAGTATGTAGAGGAAAAACTGAATTTGGAAATGCTCAAAGTTAAGGAAAAATAAGATCCACCAGAAATTCATTTTGAGGAAAAAGAGGAAGTGTATAACTTAAACTTGACATGCAAAAGAACACTACTACTTAACAAAAATAATCCAGTAAAAACAAATTTTTTCTTGGTTATTTTTAACTCAGTTTTTTGTAATGAAGCATTTTTAATGATTATGAAATTATAAAGGGCATGTTCTTTCAAGATTTAAAAACTTGTTATAATGCGTGAGTCACTACAAACTCCTCTTAAAGATAGTTTAATGATTTGATGTTTAGACTTACAATACTACTTGTATTACATTGGAAAATAGGAAATTAGAAAATAAGGGATGAGATTTAAAAAAATAAGTTTGGCGCAACTTTAACACAAACTTTATTTGCCTTTGTCAATGAATATGTCTTCAGGCTTCATGTTCATAACTTTGAAAATATTCATATTTCCTAATTAAAGGAAGAACGTCCTAGCCCGTGGTAGAGAAATACTCTTTAAAATGTTTTATTCAAAAGACCTTTTTTCTTTTTTTTTTTTTAGGTCTATTTGTATCCAGTATTGTTCTGATTTTGTCACAGCGATCACTTTTCAAGTTTTACATGTACAGCTCAGCCTTTCTCTTAGCTGCAACGTCAGTGTTGGTAAATTATTACGCTTCTTTGCACATTGACTTCTATGGTGCCTACAACACATCAGCTTTTGGAATCGAGCTGCTTCCTCGGAAAGGCCCTTCACTATGGATGGTACTCATCGTTCTGCAGCTGACATTTGGAATTGGATACATCACACTACTCCAGATTCATTCCATCTATTCACAATTAATTATTTTGGATCTCTTGGTTCCTATAATAGGTTTAATCACAGAGCTACCATTACACATCCGAGAGACTTTAGTTTTTGCTTCTTCCTTGATTCTCACATTAAATACAGTACTTGTCTTGGCAGTGAAACTTAAGTGGTTTTATTATTCCACAAGATATGTTTATCTTTTAGTGAGGCACATGTATCGAATTTATGGATTACAGTTATTAATGGAAGACACATGGAAGAGGATTCGTTTTCCAGATATACTTCGAGTCTTTTGGCTAACAAGAATTACAGCTCAGGCTACAGTGTTAATGTACATTTTAAGGATGGCAAATGAAACTGATTCCTTCTTTATTTCTTGGGATGATTTCTGGGACCTCATTTGCAATCTTATAATTAGTGGTTGTGATTCTACACTAACTGTACTGGGCATGAGTGCTGTAATTTCCTCAGTAGCCCATTATCTGGGCCTTGGGATCTTAGCCTTTATTGGCTCAACTGAAGAAGATGATAGGCGGCTTGGCTTTGTAGCACCCGTTTTATTTTTTATTTTGGCTCTGCAGACTGGTCTAAGTGGACTGAGACCAGAAGAAAGACTTATTCGCTTAAGTAGAAACATGTGCCTTTTATTAACCGCAGTCCTCCATTTCATCCATGGAATGACAGACCCTGTGTTAATGTCGCTCAGTGCCTCTCATGTGTCATCTTTTCGTAGACATTTTCCTGTGCTCTTTGTCTCCGCCTGCCTGTTCATTCTTCCCGTCTTACTGAGTTACGTTCTCTGGCATCACTATGCACTAAATACATGGTTGTTTGCAGTGACAGCCTTTTGTGTTGAGCTCTGCTTAAAAGTAATTGTTTCTCTCACTGTTTATACGTTATTCATGATTGACGGCTACTATAACGTCCTCTGGGAAAAGCTTGATGATTATGTCTATTATGTTCGTTCAACAGGCAATATTATTGAGTTTATATTTGGAGTAGTAATGTTTGGAAATGGGGCTTATACCATGATGTTTGAGTCAGGAAGTAAAATTCGCGCTTGTATGATGTGTCTCCATGCATATTTTAACATCTACTTACAAGCAAAAAATGGCTGGAAGACATTCATGAATCGTAGGACCGCTGTTAAGAAAATTAATTCACTTCCTGAAATAAAAGGGAGCCGCTTGCAAGAAATAGATGATGTGTGTGCAATCTGCTACCATGAGTTTACAACATCTGCTCGTATCACACCATGTAATCATTATTTCCATGCACTTTGCCTTCGGAAATGGCTGTACATTCAAGATACTTGTCCAATGTGCCATCAGAAAGTGTACATCGAAGATGATATCAAGGATAATTCAAATATATCTAACAACAATGGATTTATTGCACCCAATGAAAATCCAGAGGAAGTTGTAAGAGACGCTGCTGTTGCTGCTGCTGCTGCTGCTGCTGAATCTGACAGGGAGTTGAACGAAGATGACAGTACAGATTATGATGATGATGTGCAAAGAGAAAGAAATGGAGTGATTCAGCACACAGGTGCAGCAGCTGAAGAATTTATTAATGATGATACTGATTAAAATAGCATTTACTAATCATTGAGGTATTTGTTTAAAATTCAGTTCATCCAAAACGGAGTAATATGCTTCACTTTAATGTGTAACCAAGCACAAAAACAGTATCAATGTTGAATCTGTGAATGGTTTTCCGTTTACTGTGATGTGCTACTGTAAATATACCTCTTTAATTACTTCTGGTCTCTTTGGTGACCTATTTAAATTTGTGTACATTATTGTACATAGAATAAAATGTTTTCACGTTTTTATGACAAAATTTGAACAAATAGCTTTTTAATAGATGTAATAATATGGTGCGTCAACTGTGCCAAAGATTCCTCAATGAAAGTATCTCTCTCTAATTCTGGAACGTAGTTTTTCTTTAAATGGGTGGGAAAATGCTTCTCAGAGGAAACTGCATTAAATCAAGGAAATAAAATAATTTGGACCAAAGGATAAAGGCTATACATGAAGTATTTTACAACTCAGGAAAAAAGTCTGCCAGAAATGATTGAGACACTTTTTTGAAATTTGAGAGTAGCACTGTAATTGAGCCGGCTTCGAAAGTCATGATTCAGAGATTGTGTGAGTAAACTTTGGTATAAACCAGAATGTGCTAATTGTGTAATTTTGATGTAAAAATCAGTATGTTTGTTAGCCGTTCTGTGTTTGCAGCACTGACATAACATTGTCCTTTAGACTTCTGAAGAGATTACAAGATGAAACACTTGGGGGTTTTTCATTGTTTTAAACTAAGACATTAAAGGTGGTGATATTAAAACAATCCTGATCTGACTTTATGGATAAAAATGAGGGTGATGGTGTACAGCAATATATAACGTGTCTTTAAATCCAGATTCCTTTTTTAAAACTTTTGATATACTTTACCATGAAATTTTACAGACATGATGTAAAATGGAAGATATAGCAGTTACATGTCAGGAAAAAAATATTTTCATGGTGTTGTTATACAGTGTATTGGCTAATTCCAGGGGATCCTCATCTCTTACTGCTGACATTATCTCCAGTATTTGACTAAAACAAAACCAAACCAGATGATTAAATTTCCAAGCACATCTTTTCCACATAAAGATACAAGTTTAAGTATCCTAAACTTATTAAGCAGTAGTTTAACAGGTATACGGTTTTCAGCAATATCAACAGAACAGTTAAACTGTTAGGATACTTTAAAGTAATTAGAGACAGATTTCTGTGTTGTCTTGCATATGACTAGAGCCAAGAATCTGGTTAAAATAAGTCACAAGACCAGCCTATATTACATGTGCTACAATTACGGACTTTACACAGTGGAAGACTCCTTTTAAACTGTGGGTCAGAACACATATACTAGTAGGTCGTGATGGGCATTTAAAAAGTTTAAAGGAAAAGTACACTACACATGTACATGTGTACCGAGTCACACTGTAGGTCATATGGGAAGAGAGCCAAATTGTAAAGCCACTGCTTAGAGACCTTTAAAGATAGCAAGAAACTGCTGTATTTTCACTAGCTCAATGACAGCAAAGAAAGTTAGAGGTTAGTGGAACAATGGTTAAGGGGGGTTGGAACTTTCTCATCCGTACACTTTTTTCCCCTGAAAAAGATAGCTCAGGTGTCATCAATTTCTCTTTCTATAATAATAAAGTATATATTAAATGAAGTGACTAATTTTTATCTGACAGTCAAAATATGCTAAAAGCAATTAATGATACATTTTTCTTAGTAAATTACAGAATTTTCCTTTATTAACAACTTGGAATTAGAATTTACATGCATAGTAATGTGTAAAATCAATGTTTTCTGTCACTCAGCTCCAGTCCTTGCTCCACATTGACGTCAAACAATGACTGCTTTTAAAAAGAGAAACGATACTTTCCTGCTTAAAATCTGTCAGGTCCTGATAAAATCTAAACTAAGATTGGCATAAAAGAGGCCCTCACAACTGGCTTCATTTTGCCTTTCTTCCCAGACTTATCACTTACCTCACTTTCCTGTACATCCTACTTTCTGCCACACTAAATTCATTGTTTCCCCAGAGCACCTAGCCCTTCTGCAGTCTGTCTTTGCTCCTGCAGTCTGTCTTTGCTCAAGGTGTTTGCCTTGGTCTGGCATAACTCCCAAGTGTACTTGGAAACAGTTGAAATGTCACCTTTATTTCCCTGCAAGTTAGGTAGTTGATATGGCCCATAGATCCAGTCATACATTCCTATCTACGAGGGCACTACTATCTTGGACTTTAACTTTTATGTGTTTACTTGCTCCAGGATGGCAATTCTTAATCTTCCCTTGTTTACTTCTTTATCCAAAGTACACACAAGTACCAAAACTCATCTAGTGTAGCCTTAGTAGCTCGTACCTTCCTGACGTAAGAGCTCCAAAATGTGTTTCAAGGAACTTAAAATTTTAGGAGGAAACATAATAGATGGAGTTTGATTAAAATGGATTTGTAAATGAAGATTAACTTCTAATTAGTAACTAGAATTAGACTAGAGACACTGCTATTTTTGAAGTATCATTTAATACTTTTCAGTGTGCAAATGTTGGTTTTGCGAGCTCTGCCTATATTCAACTCTGGTATTAAGGATAGCAGCTGATAATCAAGCCTCTTGGTTCTTAATGGTCTGCATTTTAGAAGCACTTTAAAATTTTGTCATGTAAATGTGCAGTCAAAGTCAACAGCTTAAGGCAATATAAAAAATTGCCTTAAGCAATATAGAAAATTGCAACTGGTTGCAACTATATAATGCTTTAAAATGACTGCTGGAAAAACATTTCTTGTTTTTAGTGTCCTGTTCAATCTCCAAGGAATTATTCAGACATACTGTCACCTGATTGAATTTGCAAGTTATATTTCACAAAAATTAGGAGTGATTCCTTACTAACCAGAATTTAAATATATTCCTCAACCCTGCAGTTTTCAAAAACATTTGGTTTTAAAGTCTTTGCCAACACTAAGTTATTAAAGGAAAAGAATCATTCCAATATTTTTACAGAATAATTCTGTAATTTTCTGTCTTGTGAATTTTGGATCTGGCTCTTCTAACCTGTTAAAAATTACTGAAAGATGATGCATATGCAGGAAGTTACTACAGTCTAAAAGCAAGAATTCATAATTTTTCTAAGTGTGTTATAAATATATCTGGTTGCCTGAACTGATACAACATATATACTGATATGATGTAGATCTAAATTATGTTTGTACAAACAAAAGACGCTGAAAAGGAGTAAGAAGCTTCTTAAAAGTCATAAAATGCCCCACTGTTCCTTGTTACAGGAGCCCTTCTTCACATGTGCTATGTATTAGCATAAACGATACACTTTGTGGGATGAGTGGGAAAAGTAAATTTTACAACTTCTCTTTTTGTCCAGAGGTTTAAAGAAGTATGTTCTTAGGTTTATTCATGTTCTCCAATCATTGAAAATACATATGTAATCAAAAAGGTCACCTGCTAAGATTGCAGTTTTGTAATTAGCAGGGAAGCTACAAGGCAAGAGAACTTTTAAACCAGGTGAGGTAAGTTTATGGGTAGCTTCATGATCTTCCCCTCTCCTACAAATTGATAAATAACCCAAATCACATCTTCTCTGGTGTGATATGCCACTTGGATTGAGAGGCTCTCAAAAGAGGAGCTGAGCTAGAGGTCAGGGGTAAGTTCCTCTACATCACTCATTACGTGGCGGTCTGATCTCCATTTAATATCAACCACCTTTAATTCCCTTGAATCCACTGACATTTACTGTTGACTTTAATGTTTTTTAAGACCATAAAATCAAAATACTTACATTATATGGCAGGGCTCATTTCTATCTTTCAAACAGTGCCTGTTTTCCCACTTCTTTTTGGTGGGAAATGAAGTCTTTACGTATTTTGATCCAGCATGTGTACTTTTGACTCCACACCAAGGTGCATCTAGGATTAAGCAAAGAAGTCTCTTATCTTTAAAAATTACTGTTAAATTAAAAAAAAAATCAAATCTATAACTTCTAACACATACTAAAACTGCAACAAAAAACAGCACAGTTCTAAGAAAAGCACGATAGAATCTTGAATTGTACAAACTCAAGTGCTTTACAAGACTTTTATTTTTTTCTGCTAACATCATTGATGGTGTGTGGCGCTTTAGAAAAGGAACCTAAAATACACTGTGATAGGAAAACATTTATTTTTTTTTTTTTAGATAATAAATTTTATTGTTATATTCCCCATACAATTGCAGCGCCCCCATTCTGACCCCAATCCCTCCCCTCCCGCCCCGCCCCCTAAAAGTGTCTCTGGTTCATAGTTTTTTGTTGATTTTGATTTTCACTTTTTTATAGTTATTCATTCTCCTGGTCCCTTATTTAAGTTTTCTAGATTCCTGCTATGAGTGAGACCATCCGGTATTTTTCTTTTTCTTTTTGGCTTATTTCGCTGAGCATGATCCCTTCCAGCGCCATCCATGTTGCTGCAAATTGCATGTGTTTATCTTTTTTGAATGCTGAGTAATATTCCATGGTATATATGTACCACATCTTCTTGATCCAGTCATCGATTTTTGGGCATTTGGGTTGTTTCCAAAGCTTAGCTATTGTAAACAGTGCTGCTATAAACATAGGGGTGCAGGTGCTCTTTGGAATTGATGTTTCTGTGTCCTTTGGGTAAATACCTAGGAGTGGAATTGCTGGATCATATGGAAGCTCTATGTTTAGTAGGTCCAGAAATCTCCACACAGCTTTCCACAGTGGTTGGACCAGTTTGCACTCCCACCAACAGTGCAGAAGAGTTCCTTTTTCTCCACACCCTCGCCAACATTATTTGTTGCTAGTTTTTTTAATATGTGCCATTCTCACTGGTGTAAGATGGTATCTCATGGTAGTTTTGATTTGCATTTCCCTGATGACAAGTGATGTTGAACATTTTTTCATATGCCTGTTGGCCATTTGCATTTCCTCTTCAGAGAAGTTTCTTTTTAGCTCTTCTGCCCATTTTTTGACTGGATTATTTTCTTTGTTGTTGTTGAGTCTCATCAGCTCTTTGCAGATTTTTGTGATCAGTCCTTTATCATTAGTGTTGGGTGCAAAAATGTTCTCCCAGTTGGTGGGGTTTCTCTTTGTTTTTGTTATTGTCTCTTTTGCTGTGCAGAAGCTCTTTAATTTGATGTAGTCCCAGCTGTTTATCTTCGCCTTCACTATCACTGCTTTGGGTGATGTGTCTGTAAAGATGTCTTTGATGTGCAAATCACGTAGTGTTTCGCCTATATTTCCTTCTATGTATTTTATGGTTTCAGGTCTTATGTCTAATTCTTTAATCCATTTTGAGTTGATTTTTGTGTATGGTGTGAGGTAGTGGTCAAGCTTCATTCTTTTGCATGTAGCGACCCAGTTTGATAGGAAAACATTTAAACTCTGCCTTTAGTGAATTTGAGAGTGGCTTTAGGTGCTGACCTATTTTTCTCATAAGGAACTACAATTGCTTACACATTTTATAAGCACACTTTAAACAAAATCATTTCGTTTTCACGACTCCCTAAGAAGTCATTCTTATTTCTACGTTCTTGATTTTACTAAAGTCCGTGTATATAAGCAGAGTCTTTTGTTCCAGAGTTTAGATAAAAATTTTACCTTCTAATCTTTTATTTTGAGGCAACATTATCTTTTAAGTTTAAAGTCTTAGACTAGTTTGATTTAAATTTCTGCATTTTATTTAAATAGTATAGTAGAATGAAGCCATTACAAAGAAGACTGTTAAAAAGCAAACTGACAATAGATTTAGAATTCTGAGGTAAAATGCTTAGTTAAGAGGCCTAGTTTAACCATAACTACAACCTCCTTAGTTTCCACATATTAAGACATCCGTTTTTAACTGCCTAGTTGAGTCAAACTTCTAAATTTGAAAAAACTGCTTGCACAAATATTTTTCCATCAATTGATAACACTGTCCAAGTTTTTCTGAAAAGTGTAAAACTGCTGAGGTTGAGCATATTAATTGTTGACTTTACTCTTTTTCTGTCTACTTGAAGAGGAAAATCAAGGTTCTAAAACCAAACTTACCTGTCTCAATCATTAGTCTTTCACTAGGTATTGACTTCAAAACTTCCAAATTAGCCTCAGTTTTCAGTGAGCTTAAAAAAAATGGTATTTACATATTAAAAGGTAAATTTAATGAATAACTTTTTCATATTATAAACTTGTCTAAAAATTTACAAAACCCAGATCCTAAACAAACAAACCAACGTGTCACAGTGGCGTGCTACTTTAGGAAGTGTTTGTACATTCCTATCCGCAGAGAATGCAGATTAAGAATTCCAACTGGGGACTGGCGGGGTGGGGAGGTTGGGGGGAGGATCCAACTGTTTATGTTTACCAACTGCCAATAAATTCTATCAAATCTAAGTAAAAATTTACCTTTCTTGAAAGAATTTGCTTCTCTGAGTAATTTGCCTAACTTAAAAGCCCTCACTAGCTGCCCAAAGAGATGGGCCAAATATAGATTCACTGGTATGAAGAATCAGTGTTAGAGGCTCAAAGTTTATGTTTCATGAATCACTAAAGAATTTTCAGAAAAATCACCTTCACTGTTAGAATTATGTGTACGGGTGACATTTTTCACAATCTTTTGAGTAGCCTGCATGGTGCACAGAATGAAAAAACATGGTACAAATGTGAACCCTGTATGTAGCCTGTGGCAGAGAACTAACCCTTTTATCTGTCAAACCCAGGTGACCCAAAGACCCACACACAAAGATACTTACTGTAATATGCCACTAAGTTCTAGGATGGTTTGCTAGATGTTGTTAGATGTTGTTAGATGACTAATACTGTCCTTATGTTACATTTTTAACTTCGCCATGTATTATAATTGTTATGGGAAATTTCAGGTACACATACAATAATCCAGAACCCCAAGTTTTTTTTTTTTTTTTTTTGTGGGACCCTCGTCGGCCAGGGATTAACCCACGCTGCAAAGGCTGCAGGCAGCCTCGCAACCCAGCACTCAACCACTGCACCACCAGGGGAGGCCCCAGAACCCCAAGGTTTTCATCAACCAGTCCCACCAAGTATCAACCCCTGGCAGATTCTGTCCCATCCACTTCCCCCACCCTTTCATATTATCTTGAAGGAAATCCCAAAGTATAGTTTCAGCATTTCAATGTTTATTTCAGGAAATATTTCAGCATGTATCTAGGCATTAAGGACTTTTTTAAAAAATATATAAGCACAATGCTATTATGTCTAATAAAAACCCATCTCTTTTATCAATATATCTAGTATTTGAAGTATTTCAATGGCATACATTCTCTCTAGGTTTGAGGATCCAAATGAAGGTCATACATAATTGATCAAGGTTTGCTAAATCCACTGATCTATCAAGCTGCAGTTTTTTTAAAAAAAGATTTATTTATACAAGCACTGGGTACAGTCAGAAGCGTGGGAGGGTGAGAGAATTTATCAGAGCCAGAGCGGGGAACAGAGCAGGCAGAAGGACCGAAGTACACTGCTGAGGGGAGCAGCGGGCGGCAGAAGAGGTCTGCGTGCCAAGTGGGACCCTTGCTGGCAGCCGGGGATCGAACCAGCGCTGCAGTGGCTGCAGGCAGCTTCGTAGCCCAGTGCTCAACCACTGCGCCACCAGGAGAGGCCACAAGCTGCAATTCTTTCAATACCTTCACATTTACTTTTTGAAGAAACCTAGTTGTTTGCCTAAAGAGTTTTCCAGTATTGATTTCAGTTCTGTGCTTCAGTTTGACAGGTTCCTCTGTATTTCTTATCAAGAGAACTATAGTACCAGAGTCTGGATCAGATTCAGGCTGGAATTTTTTGAGGGAGGGCAAGACTTTCACAGATGGCAGTATGAGCTTCTATCTAGAGGCATAAAAAGTCTGGTCATATTTTTTATGATGTAAGGCAGCCAAGCCATGGGTACCCAATACAAAAACTGCAAAATTTTGATATAATTCTATCAATCCTCCCATCTACTAACTAGAATACTTCTATAAAGAGAAAAATGTCATCTGCCTACTATTTAGGTATCCAGTGGACTCTATAGGGGTAAAAGCATTATGTCTTTATGTTGAATGTGCTGTTCCCCAGTTTCCTCCAAAGGTGCTAATATTTGAACACTGACATACATTTTTCATCTCTGAGGAGCTCTAACTTATGTTTTTTGTAGCATTCTGTTCATTTAATGAATGGTACAGCTCAAATCTCACTACATCAGGTTCTCTTTAAAGCTCATTTCCCTTATTAAGTGTTTCCTTGGTTTTCTAGTTACTTTGTTTTTTTTCCTGCCAGTTCATCTCATTCACCTCAAGGTCCTTGGCTATCAATTTATATCAACTTGGGTTGCCAGTGTTGGGTTTCTTCTTTTTTTTTGTAAACAGGACTATACTACAGCCAGGTCTCTGTGTAGGTTTCTTACTGGAAGCAACTTGTAGGATGGGGCATGCTGTGTTTAAGGGTGAGAGGGCAGAGAGCTAACTGTGAGGCTACTGGTTCTCTTCATGCTTCCCTCTGGAGCAATGTACTCATTCTAAGTTTTGGCTTCACTATACAGTGTTCAGTTTTTTTGAGAATTATTTTCCCCTTGAGCATAAATTCTTTCTGCTTTAGCACTTTGTCTATGGGAGGGCGTACTGGTGGTGATACCTTTCTTTAGGCCTTCAATCACTCTATTTTGGTCTATTTCTCACTAACTCTATGCCCAGAGCCTCTGAGATTTTTATTGGCAAAACTTGCTATCTCTGAGCCTCTTCAGTGGGTGAAATCTAAGCTCTCTCTCCAAGTTTCACTTGTCTCCCAGAAATCTATCAGATATTTCTCCACTAGCAAGCCTCCAGCCTTTTTCTTTCCCCTTCTACGTTTTCCTTTCTCCTATTTTATTTTAGTAAGATTTTAGGAATAATTTTATTTTAGTAAGATTTTAGGAATGGGAAGGAAATATGTGTCTAGTTTGGCTTAAGAAGCAGTTTTCCCCTAGGAAAAAATTATCTTATTTTCAACCATCTTAACACTTGGTCAGTACACACACACACACACACACACACACACACACACACGTACGTTTGATACGGATACTAAATTTAAAACTTGTCACCAAATTATCAAATACAGGCCTGCAGAGAGATACTGAAGACAAGCAAACTAATCCACTTACAAAGTTCAAGGAAAAGGAAGAACCAGGCATTTAAATAGGCTGGGCAAGGCAGGGAAGTGAAATGGGAATCTTTTGAAAAGTCAGGGCAAAGACAAGATGGGGCTCTCAGATTACTTTCCAGTGAACTGGTTCAGAGAAGACTACTTCTGCCCCCAGCCCTGTCCTGAGAGAGGGTAGAGTGTAGTCTCTGGAGAACGAACCAGAGACTGGAGGAGAGAACAACAGGCACAAAGACTGGGGCTGAGGCATGGGTTGCAGATTGGAGGCGGTGTACTGTGAGATCTTCTCTTTGACCCACTTGCTCCAGAACACAGGTACTTCAATGAGTCCCCATACCAGTTTTCCCGCGGAGATCAGAGGCACCCTCTCTGGAGAGACAACCACCTCAGAAGAACCAACATATGGACATTTCGGGACCTGGTGACAATCGGTTGGCAGCTAACAGTCAGCCAGTTGATGGGCTCTCTCATCGCAAAGCTCCAAACAGCTCTTTTCTCTTTTTTGAAATATTCAGCAAAGAGCTGCCTAGCAGGGCCTCCCCAGTGGCGCAGTGGGTTGAGTGAAGTGTAGCACTGTGAAGCTGTCCGCAGCCTCTGCAGTGGGGTTTGATTGCTGGCCAGCCAGGGAGATACCCACATGGCACGGCAGACCTCTCCTGTCTTGCCTGCTGCTCCCCTCAGCAGTGTCTTCGGTCCGTCTGCCTGTTCTGTTCCCTGCTCTGCCTCTGGTGAGTCCTCTCACCCTCCCATGCCTCTGGCCTGTACCCCAGTTCTTGAATAAATAAATCTTTTTTTTTAAAAAAAAGAGCTGCCTAGCAGCTGAAGAAAGCCACCATCATGACTGAGACAAAAGGATAAGGGGACACAGGAAACATAAATTATTATTGGGCAAACAGAAAATAACTTTTAAAAACTAATTCATATCTTTAAGGAGATGAGAAGATGTTGCATATACCAAAGATTATGGTAATAAAAAAATGTTTAGGGGCCTCCTTGGTGGCACAAGGGTTAAGTACCACACTATGAAGCAATCCGTAGCCTCTGTAGCACGAGTTCGATACCTGGCCAGCCAGGGAGCAACCCACACGGTGTAGCAGACCTTTCCTGACTCTCCTACTGCTCCCCTCAGCAGTGTCTTCGGTCCATCTGCCTGCTCTGTTCCCCACTCTATCTCTGGTGAATCCGCTCCCCCTCCGCATCTCTGGCCTGTACCCAGCTCTTGTATGCATAAATAAATCTTTAAAAAATTAATAATTAAAAAATGTTTAGAGATTGTAAACAAAAGCTGAAGTTTCATTTAAAAGCTGCAAAATGCAGCACTCTAAAGTAGAGAGAAAAGAGAGACATTGTAGAATAAAAATGATCGGAGTCAGCCTGAAAGTGTCAAACAGAAGAAGAAAAAAAATGGAGACTATTTCCCAGGGCCTACAGATGAGCCTTTAGCTGGCAACAGAAATGCAAAACGAATGACAAACTTCAGTGAAGCTTGATACAACCAGAGAAAAGAACTAAAATCTTCCACAGGAGAAAAAATAAGGAAGTCACAAGGAAAGGAATAGGAATCAGAATAGCAACTGACTTAACACAGGAGCATAAAAATGAAACACTAACTTTTCAGAGAAAATGATTTCTAATCTATAATCTTTTGCCTGGAAAAAAATGTCAATATGAAGTGGAAGTGTTTATTTTTTCCTTTCATTAGCTCTCCAGACAAATTTTCAAAAGGAAGAATAAAATAAATTTTTTTCAAACATATGTTTCATCTTTAAAAAATGGAATATAAAGGACCTAGCAGCGAAGAGACACTAGTTCAAACAAGCAGAAAGATGGAAGGGTCTCTATTAATGGAACTATTAGATGATCTAGACAGCTTTCCTTGTGTGGAAAACAGAAAAAGGTATTTAACTGAGCTGTCAAAAATGTGAGGAGGCTTCATGTTTTAAAGAAAGCCAAGTAAATAAAACATACGTTACTGCAAGAAAATCAGAAACTGGCAAACCTTATGGTTCAGCAGTCAATAATATTTACAGACATAATGAAACACTGAATATACATATAACCAAAAATTCAGGAATAACTACAGTGGAAGGAATAAGGAGGAAAAAATAGGGAGGGGCAGAGTGTAGAATATAAGAACTTAAATGCTCATATACCTTAATTTATATAGTGGTTAAATAGCAAAGTGGTTGCCTCTTGAATATGAGAAATGGGTTGGAAAGACTTTATAAGCCCTCTAATACTACTTGACTTTTAATACTTATGCATATATTCCTTTGCATATTAATTTATAGTACAGTCACATATTTAAAATATGAAAAAGTATCCAGAACATTTAAAAGTCTGAATTCTATAGCAAATAAGCAATTTCATGATTCTATTTTTTAAAGAGATCTTAGTAGAAAATTATGTCATCAGAAAAGTAATAATTTTAAGGAAATAAAACCAGTGAAGGGGTCACAGTTTACTTATGAGCTACGCTGACATCTTGTAAAGACTGGTAGAAACTCATCAAATTATTTGGAAGAAAGTGAGCCCAGGGACCCACCCGTGCTAGCTGACTGAATTGGGCACATGAGGTTTGGTGTGGTTATAATTGCAGAAAGGTCACCAAATGAGAAGCCAGAGGACCCTGGCTTCCACCCTTGGCTATTTTATATACCAGCTCCTTGAATTCAGTTTCTGGGCCTACAGAGACATACAAGATAATCATGTCACAGACGACCTCTTCTCCATCATCAGACATCACTTATGACTATGTACATGTTAATGACATGATCAAGAAAGTTTTAGTATATGTGCTGCTGAACCGAGCACTTGATCAAGAAAGTTTTAAAGGAACAAAATGAACTGAGAATAAATTGAGCTGCTAACCTTAACACAGATATTTTCCATTAATGGAACACAGGATAGTAGTTATAATTTTCAAGTTTTAACTTCTAATTGTCATGTACTATTCTTACACATATAATTACTGACATTCTTAGATCAAGGTCAATGCAAAACACACAGAAACTCAATAAAAATAATTTAAATCTTCTATCAGCAATTCACTGCAAAGTTTTTCTTAAATCTGCTAAAATTAAAAAAAAAAAAAACAATTTAAGAACTTACCAACCATTAAATCCTACATAGAGATCCAAGTCAATCAAAGCAGCTGCTGCTTCCTTGCTACCATCAAATGAATGCACCTAGGGACACAGAGGTAAGGTATTATTATATAACCAGGATGCTTTAACATTCTAAGCCTTTTTTAAGAGTTTATTAAAAAAAAAGTGAGAGAGAGCTACAGATACATTAGGGATTTTTGGACCACAGGGTTTCAAATACAGTAGCCCCTAAAATTTTTATTTTCTAGTCAAATTTCACAGTTAAAATCTGCCATCTCCAATGATCCGAGACAAGGAGTTGGCTAGCTGGACTTTCTCTCTGGCTGTGCCACGTCCCTGCACCAGCATTACCAGAGCACCTCCAGAGAAAGGGGCTGGAGGTGGGAGTCAGATTATTAGGCAACAAACATGAGGAAAAGTTAGAAATATTATAAAGCTATTTAAGATATTTTTAAATGTAGTTTAATTTTCCTGTTAGAAGATACTTTTTTTCCTAGAAAAAACTTTTTAGAGGCAAGTTTTAAGATCTATAAAAAGGTTGTGAGGGGCCTTCCCTGGTGGCACAGCGGTTGAGCGCTGGGCTGCGAAGCTGCCCGCAGCCCCTGCAGCGCCGTTGGTTCCCCGGCCACTGGCGAGGGTCCTACAAGGCGCGCAGACCTCTCCTGCAGCCCGCTGCTCCCTCAGCAGTGTATTTCTTTGTCAGTCTGCCTGTTCTGTTCCCTGCTCTGGGCAAATTCTCTCACCCTCTGCGCTTCTGACTGTACCCAGTGCTTGTATAAATAAATAAACAAATCTTAAAAAAAAAAAAAAAAAAGGCTTTGCTAGAAAGTCACCACCAGTCACTATACAATTATTTAAAAAAAAAAAAAGGTGGTGAGAACATTTACAACAGGTCTAAATATGTTAGTATCAATTCATCAGGCAAGGACTGAGATGGGGCTTCTCCTTGTCATAGAGGGGTGAAAGTGCAGTTCCTCACATGTTGGATGTACTTATGTAATCAAGACAAACAGTGTGTCATTAATACCAAGTCCAGAGAATTGTTTCTCAACAACGATGAAAACTGCTGCAGAGCTGCCCCTCAGCACTTCCAGTGACAAAACCGTGCCTCCATTAATACAGAAATTATTTTATTTTAAAGATTTATTTTTATTTATTTATGCATACAAGGACAGTGATGCAGGCCACAGCTATAGGGGGTGAGAGGATTCACCAGAGACAGAGTTGGGAGCAGAACAGGCAGACTGACTGAAATACACTGCCGAGGGGGGCAGTGGGCAAGACAGGAGAGGTCTGCTGTGCCCTGTGGGTCAGCTCCCTGGCTGGGGATGGAACTCATGCCAGTAGCGGCTCCCTGCTATCTTTTTTTTTTTTTTTAACAATTTTTTGAATTGCAATATTTTTTATTTTTTATTTATTTATTTTAATTTTTATTTATTTATACAAGCACTGGGTACAGTCAGAAGCACGGGAGGGTGAGAGAATTCACAGAGCCAGAGCGGGGAGCAGAGCAGGCAGAAGGACCGAAGTACACTGCTGAGGGGAGCAGCGGGCGGCAGGAGAGGTCTGCGCGCCATGTGGGACCCTCCTCTGGTGGCCGGGGAGCAGCCGGGGATCGAACCAGCTCTGCAGAGGCCATGGGCAGCTTCGCAACCCAGAGCTCAACCGCTGCGCGCGGGGGGGAGGCCACTCCCTGCTATCTTGATAGTGCTGAGACTTAACCCCTTGCACCACCAGGAGGCCCAATATTGAAATAATTTTAAATGTGATTCTTCAACAAGTATTTCAGAGAATTATTCTTTATTTCGCAATCTCTTTTTTAATTAAAATTGAACCCAAGTTGGATTTTTTGTTGCTGTTATTTTTTTTAACTATTATAGAATCATCCAATTTAATTCTTATTTAGAAATAAAGCAAATGGGCTAAGAGGTAAAGACTGAAGGCTATTAAGTGCCACCAGTAATTCAAGGGCATTAACGAAAGTCTCTCAGTTCCCAAGTGCAATTCCAAAAGAATAAGCTGGCCAGTATGCTACAAAAAGTGCTCAGTAATATCAACACCACAGCAACAGGAAACACACATCACTTGTAGTATAAACATTGATGCAGATGCTGAATAAAAACTTGAGAGACTACATAAAATGTCAAAGCAACACAACATGGGTACACAGTAAAGGCTTGGTACTGTTCCTCTTTCCTTAGCTGGCACAGTATAGAGAGTTTTTTTATAGCTGGATAACAGCTTTTTTGCTGGAGATCAATGAGGCTCTCCTGAAGATAGAAAATATGTATTTTCGAGCATTTTCTGAGGCAGATTTTCAGAGGCATTAATGATCCAGAAAAGATGAAAAAGCACTAGCATGGCCACTTGAGTTAAATGGTGGGCAGATAACACTTAGGGAAACAGCTCAACGCTAATGACTGAAATGACGAAGGCTTATTAGCACAGAAGCAGCAAACTACAGAAAGAGAGGCTCTAGATCACTGAGGTAATAGTTTATGAACAGAGTTGACAAGAAATTAAGAAGGCAAACCTGAAATGAATGTGAAAATTTTAAAATACTACTAAAATTAGTTTATATTTTTGCTCAAAATTTAATTTGAAGAACATTTAAAGAATGGCTGGTAGAAGCAGCAGAGAAGAAATATCCATGCACTGTTAAAATGTGTAGGGGTAAATCGATGGACTTTCTTATGACCAGAATTCTGTACTCAATTCTTGTACTCCAAACAGTAACTAATTAAAAGTATGATTTATGGGGCCTCCCTGGTGATGCAGCAGTTGAGCGCTGGGTTGCGAGGCTGCTCGCAGCCTCTGCAGCACCAGTTCGATCCCCAGCTGCTCCCCAGTCACCGGAGGAGGGCACACATGGTGCACAGACCTCTTCTGCCACCCGCTGCTCCCTCAGCAGTGTACCTCGGTCCTTCTGCCTGCTCTGCTCCCTGCTCTGGCTCTGGTGAATTCTCTCACCCTCCCGTGCTTCTGACTGTACCAGTGTTTGTATAAATAAACAAACAAACAACAAATGAATAAATAAATCTTTAAAAAAATAAAAATAAAAAAATGAAAGTATGATTTATGTTTGGATGACATCTGGCCCAGAGATCAAACAGTAAACTTACATGTACTTCAAATGAGAGAAGAGCCTTAACAAATTACCGTTACATGTGAATTACTTTAGAGGCCAATCTTTGTAATTACCAAGATGCTTTCATGCATCATACATTAAAAACAGCTCTTATACTGGGGCCTCCCTAGTGGCGCAAGGGGTTAAGCACCATACTATAAAGCAATCCCTCAGCCTCTCCAGCACGAGTTCGATTCCCGGCCGCAGACCTCTCCTGTCTCGCCTGCTGCTCTCCTCAACAGTGTACTTTGATCAGTCTGGCTGTTCTGTTCCCACTCTGTCTCTGGTGAATCCCTCACCCCCGCATCTCTGGCCTGTACCCCAGCTCTTGTAAGCATAAATAAATCTTAAAAAAAAAACAAACAAACAACTCTTACACTTACCACCCACCTACACATCGATCTCTGTTTCTTTTCATTATGTCTGTGAATTAAAAGAGAGAACTTTCAGCAAATAGCTTGATTTCTGCAAAATTTTTAAATTCTGAAAAAGATTTTAGCTTTGACTCACCTAAGAATTCATCATGTGAGTTTCGACAGTGAAGAAACATTGGCAATTTTGTTTGTTCTGAGAGTTCAAACTGTTTTTCAAAATATCTTAATAATGCAAAAAAGATTTCCTTGTTAAAATGTTTTTTAGCATGAGAAATACAATACATCGAGTGATTTTTTTTTTTTTTTTTTTTTGGGTTAGAGGAATTTTTATCCTCTAGAAATTAGGACAGAAATGTAGGATAAAATTAATTCAGACATTTAAA